ATCTGGAAGTTTCATTGGCTCGTTCGCCGATCGCGTGTTCAATCCAGATTCCTTCTTCGATTTTCTCGTCTCCGATATCGCGATTTTGTCAAATCCGCTACGTATCCCCTCATTTCCAACGGCTTCCACCACCTCACAACTACCGCCATCATATTTTGCTCCATCGTGTTCTGTCGCTTTCAGATCTTCATTTTGAGCCATAAGAGAAGACCTTCGTTTGTTGCGTCATCCAAGGCTCTGTTGATTGTTTCTTCCACCTTTTTATCAGCTCGACAATCTTTTGCAAATTGCCCCTCTGCCACAATTGTAACATTTGTCGGAGTTACAATCGTTCGCATAATGACCATATTTGTGACATTTGTAGCACTGAATGTTTGAGTAAATTGATCGACCGCCTCTTCCTCGACTGCGTCCTCTTCCACGCCAATTTGCTTGGCTCAACTGTCCCTTCTTCTTATAGTATCCTTCATGACTGTTACCTTGACCACCATGACCATTTTTACTACTTTCACGGCCAACACCTATACCTTCAAAATTTTGAGAGTAGAGTACCTTTTCATCTTTGATTGACGCCTTGGTTTGAAGTGCTTGATTGAGTGTTTCCTCCTTCTTCTTCTTACGTTGCTCGTGTGCCTTGAGAGAACCAGCTAGCTCATCGACTATGAACGTCGCTAGGTTCTTTAACTCTTCTATCGCGCATACAACATTCTCAAAGTTATTGGTTAATGACCTTAAAATCTATTCCAAAACCTGCGTCTCGGCTAACATTTCTTCATTTCGGTTGAGTTGGTTTACCACAGTTTGTACATGCGTGATGTAGTCAAATATACCTTCTGACTCCTTCATCTTCATGCTCTCCTACTTGCCACGAAGAGTTTGGAGACGCACTTGCTTGACTCGGTCAATTCCTTTGAACACTTTTCCTAAAGTGTCCCACACTTCTTTTAAAGTAGTTGCACTGGCAAGCTTCTCAAAGCCCGACTCGTCAACGACTCAGAACAACATGTATAGTGCCCCCTTATCCTTTGATCGCACCACTTTTAACGCCTTGTTTCGTGTCGCTGTATAACCCGTGGTATCTTTTGGTTCTTCTAACCCTTCTTCGACTACCTCCCATGCATCTTGAGAACCGAGAAAAGCTTTCATATGAATGCTCCAATTCTCGTAGTTTGTCTTCGTTGGTCGCAGTAGCGGCATTTGACCCGTCACATTCGTCATTGACTTGATACAAATTTATTAAAGAAAACTCATAAATTTGTGAAATAAATATCACACACACTAACTATAGAAGAAGACAAAAAACACTCTGTTTATTTTAAAAAAACAATCCTTTATTGCTTCTCTGTTTCTTTTATTTTTTTTCTCTTCTCTGCTTTACCGTTTTACCATGGTAATAACAAATGTATTTATAAGGTCTGCTAAAACTATCAAGATGCCACTGTTTCCTAACCCATAAAAAGTCATTGTTCTTCTAACATTCTTGGCCTTTCATCTCCAACACTCTTGGCCTTTTCCTCTAAGACTGACTCTTGGATTTAAAACCCACTAAAATTCTCCATGGGGAATCCGATCCCTGCCGCTTCCTTGCGTTGAATCCCTTACCTTGATCCCCACACAAATAAATAGAGAGTTTCGTGGAAAAAGGGAATGAAATAAATGGTGGGGATGATGACAGGGAATGGACATCGCTACATGTGGCCCCTGCACATGTCGTGTTTTATGATTGTATGACATATACTATGTTATGTATATGCTATGATATACGATATGTTACATACAAGTTACGCTATGATATCATATACACTATTCTAGGACTAAGAGAAATTAGAAAATCATGTATTGTTAATTATTAAAAATATGAAATGAATCAAGTATTTATATCTCATAGGAACACTATGCTAGGAATAGATTGGTGGTATGACTAGCGCCATGAATATATGTCATTCTTTAATGTTATGGGACCTCATGCATTTTGTATACAACGTTCCTTGAGATACTTCTATTTTATGTTTAGTACACCCTATGCCTATGTATTGTTAATCATGAACAATATGACAAGAATCAAGTATGTATGTCTCATAGGAACGTTATGTCGTGTTTTAATGTTAGGGATGTCATGTATTTTATATGCCAGGTGCATCGGGATACTTCCCTATTATGATTTGTACAGACATACCTTACAATATTTATGTTCCTTATGATATTATGCGGGTCTTTTCCCTTTATGGTATTTGGTAGTGTGAGCGTTCACAAGCTCGACGAGGCAGACCCACAGAGTACTCTTATACCAACCACCTGGTGGTCAATGTGCATATT